TTGGAAAGCGGCTGGAAGGGCGGTGGTGAAAACCGGCGGGATCTGTTTGCACCACACCACCCCGCCTTTGCCCCGGGAGGGTATGCAGCCCCCTCCGCCAGCGCGGCAATTTAGCTGGGAGGGGGGAAAATTGCCATTGCCCCTGCGTAACCCGGCAAGAAAATGCTGCACAGCCCGGTCATCCCCGCTCGCATCGCCCTGATTGTTGGCAGGCTACGTATTATTAATTAAGCATAAGACGAGATTACTTCGCACCGGCGGGCGCTCGGGTTTTTTGGGGTTGGTTGTTTGGTTTCTTTTTTTTTTTTCAAAAACTGCACTTTTCCTTTCAAACCCTTTCATTAGGCTCTGCGTATGCCGGCGAGCTGAAAAGAGAGCAAATCGTTTGGTTCCAATCAAATCAATACTTCTCAAACCCGCTTTTTTTTTTTAGCGGAATTATGCGCTATTTTCATTATGATAACCTTTGACTTCTTATGCACCAACAATTAGCAGTATTTGTCTACGGGTGACACTTTGAATGGGTCTCCCCAAAAACAATGGCCTGGTACAGTTTATTCTCTACTCTTCCCTCCTGCGAGAGGAGTTTGGATCTGACAAGCAGTTACAACTGTGCTTTAACCCGTTACAACTACCAGCAATGACTCAGTAACAACTCACATACATATAAAAGTGAAAATTAAAACACGTGAAAATAAATAAATAAAACAACAAAGTAAATTAAATAAAACGCGTCTATACCTGAGTGAGACAGATTGGAGAATACATCATGACTTCGCTTTGAGAACGCGCTGCCCGGAGAGCCCCTAAGAAAAGCCTCAAAAAGGAATAATTTCATCTATTCATTTTACAGTCATCTGAGACTCAAGGAAGATGAAATCAATCAGGACGGGGCTCTGCCCTGGATCACCACAACTTCACAACAAACCCCAGTCCTCCTTAAATAGCCAAAGATTCAAGTTCACTCCGTGTGCTAGATTTCCCGGGGTGAAATCCAATCTACACTTTTAACCCTCTTGTAGTCGGCGGCGCAGGAGTCTCGCTTTTGCTGCTGCTGCTGGTGGTGGTTGTTT